TTAAAAAGCCCAAAGTGTCTGCTCCCTGACAGAAACCTGGCTCCACATCTTTGTTTGTTAAAATTAAATTACTTAATTATGATAAATTACCGAAACAATGAATCATTAAATAAAGTTGCAGCTTTGTGTCGACTGATTAATGATCTTGTCTAAGTCCACAAAAACTGTCCTGAACTTTAAACTCTAGAAACATTTCCACCTACAGCCGGTGAGATTAGAGGCGACGTTACTGCCACTGCTCCGAAGGAGCAAAGTTCAGAGGAATGTGTGTGTGGTGATAATAAAAGAGGAAATAATGATAAACAGAGAGGAGGAGAAAAAAATAAACACCATGCAGATATTTTCTGTTCTAAATGAATTAAATGTTACAGACTAAAGAATTAAGATAACAATCAGCTGTGTTAATAACGATCAGCTGTGTTAATGATCAGCTGTGTTGATAAAGATCAGCTGTGTTAATAATCAGCTGTGTTGATAAAGATCAGCTGTTAATAATCAGCTGTGTTGATAATGATCAGCTGTGTAAATAATCAGCTGTGTTGATAAAGATCAGCTGTGTTGATAATGATCAGCTGTGTTAATAATCAGCTGTGTTGATAATGATCAGCTGTGTTAATAATCAGCTGTGTTGATAATGATCAGCTGTGTAAATAATCAGCTGTGTTGATAATGATCAGCTGTGTTGATAATGATCAGCTGTGTTAATAATCAGCTGTGTTAATAATCAGCTGTGTTGATAAAGATCAGCTGTGTTGATAAAGATCAGCTGTGTTAATCAGCTGTGTTTAATGATCAGCTGTGTTGATAAAGATCAGCTGTGTTGATAAAGATCAGCTGTGTTAATCAGCTGTGTTTAATGATCAGCTGAGTTGTGTGTCTGTAGCATCACACGGTGTCAACAGTTACCGGTTCTTCAGGTTTCTAATGTCCCATGATTATAACCTGTCTGCAGCTGCTGGATCATTACATGTGCGTGACATTAAACACAAGCCACAGAGGAAGTTGAATAAATGAAATAAATATGCTCATGACATAAAAAATAATTACTATAGAATTAATTAATAAGTCAATAATATATAAATGTGGAATTATAGAATAAAGTCCTGGAATAAATCAAACCTTTGTTTCCTTGCTGTCAAAGATTTTAATGCTGTATTATATAATAATAAAAAACAGTGGTTGATGATGAACTGTTTAAATGCTGAAGGTTAAATGAACGAATGAATAAAGCATTCATCTGAAGTCAAGACTGAACTCACAGCTGGATATGAAGCAGTTAAATTTAGACACAAACAGTCGGTTCTTGTCCAGACATGAAGTGACTGCATCACCTCAGGTCACGGGGGGACGGTGGCGTCCTCAGCCCGTCTGTCCCTGCAGACCGCCACTGTTCCGCTGCAGGTGGATCAGCTGCTGCTCCTTCACACGTTTATCCGGCTGGAAAGTTTTGGACACAGCCAGGCGGGTGTTAAAGTGTGTTTACATGCAGCAGGCTGTTTTCTGGAAGAGCTCTGTTCCCTCGGGAGCTGGTCCAACCTCCCGTCACAGTGACGGCGGGGGGAGTGGATCCAAAGGAGGCTCAGAGATAAACATGTGACACTCACGACAAGAGTTTAAAAACACCGCGTCACATTTCAGATCCTGAATCATCTCAGGTCACCTCCGACCACCTTCATGTCCCACTGGATCCCAGCAACACTTAAACTTTCTTTTTAATCCATTTGTCATTTCCTGTTTCACACTGAAAATAAAATGGAATAAAAATCTTTCTGTTTTTGTACAGAAGAGTTCAGCTGAGAAATACTGGACTGTTGAACCGTTTGTACTCAAACGAAACAAAATGTTTGAACGTTATTTTGGTAGAAACTGAAGTTTACCTCCTGCGAGATATTCTATCCTACGTGCAGGGTTTTACCTCCTATGTACACGATAAATCCTACAAACAGAATATTATCGCTAGCAAGAGGGAATTAACTCTTTACTTATGGAGTACTATCTCCTACCTACGAGATATTGTCTCCTGCCTAGAAGATATTGTCTTCTATATACGAGATATCGTCTCATACCTACGAGATATCGTCTCATACCTACAAGATATCATCTCCAACCTACAAGATAATGTCTTCTATGTACGAGATATCATCTCCTACCTACAAGGTATTGTCTCCTACCTACGGGATATCGTCTCATACCTACGGGATATCGTCTCATACCTACGAGATATCGTCTCATACCTGCGGGATATCATCTCCTGCCTACGAGATATTGTTTCCTGCCTGCCTACAAGATCCTGTCTCCTACCTACGAGATATTGTCTCCTACCTACGGGATATCGTCTCCTACCTACGGTATATCGTCTCCTACCTACGAGGTATCGTCTCCTACCTACGAGGTATCGTCTCCTACCTACGAGGTATCGTCTCCTACCTACGAGGTATCGTCTCCTACCTACGGGATATCGTCTCCTACCTACGGGATATCGTCTCCTACCTACGAGGTATCGTCTCCTACCTACGGGATATCGTCTCCTACCTACGAGATATTGTCTCCTACATACAGGATATAGTATAACATATATACAGATATAGATATACAGGAATTTGAGTTGGAAATCACATATAAATTATACAAAGGTAAAAATATCAAAAACAATTGCTCTGTTACACAAAATAAAGGATTCATTAGATAATAAAGCATTGTACATTTTATACAACACCATGATTGTTCCGTATCTGACCTACTGTGTTGAAGTTTGGGGAAATGCTTTTAAAACATATACTCAGTCAATTTTCATTTTACAAAAAAGAGCTATAAGAATAATCAGTAGAAAACGATAGAGATCCAACAAATAAATTATTCCTTCAGTTAAAATTGTTGAAATTTCATGAATTAGTAGATTACAGTATTCTGCAAATTATTTTTAAAGCCCATAAATAACTTTACCAATCAATATTCAGAAAATATTTGAAAAAAGAGAAAGCAAGTATAATTTAAAAGGAACAGAGATCTTTAAAAAAAACAAGATTCAGAACTAAACTGATGGAACGTTGCATTTCTGTGAAAGGAATCAGTTCATGGAACAATCTGAACAAAGAAACCAAAGAATCCAAGTCAAACATTACTTTTAAAAGAATAATTAAAGCCAGTGTTACGGAAATATATTGAAATATGTTAGTTATGTTTGACTGTCATACCCATTGTCATGAAAGGTATAGTATATAAATTTAAAATAAATAAAAAAATAAATAAATAAAAATAAAAAATAAATGTTTGAATGGTATCGATTGAATTGTAACTCGGGAACCAAAAAGAATGTGACTGTTTATGTTGTGGCTGGCAGCTATTTTATTTTATTTTTGTTTATTTTGTTGTTTTAATTTAAGTGCTTTGTAAATTGATTTTTTGGGATAAAGGGGCAGATTAAATAAGATTATTCTTCTTTCTGCTCCCTTTCATTCAGATTTGGGAATGTTGTGTTTATATTGTATTGTTTTTTTTTCTTTTTTTCAATGAATGAAATAAAAATAAATAAATAAATATAGTCCCCGTCCAACAAGATATTACGTCCTACCTTTGAGACATCATCTCCTACTTATGAAATACTATCTCCTAAGTGCCATATATTAACTCCTACCTAAGGGATATTATCTCGCACCTATGGGATATTTTCTGTCCACAAGTTATTATGTCCTGCGTACAGTAAATTATCCCCTGCTCTACTTTATACAAGATATTACTTCATACCTATATTGTCCCCTACCCACCGGATATTCTCTCCAACCTATGAAGTTATTATGTCGTCTGTATGGAGATGATATGTTTCTGTATGGTGCTCATGGTGCTGCAGCTCATCAGTGTTTCAGCAGCTCAGTAATAAACAGGGCTTAAAACTGGAGCCACACAAACCTGTAAATGAGTTTTCATTTGGACTTTGAAGTGATCTAAATATACCGCTGGTGGCGGTGGTGTGGAAAGGCTCTGTGACAGGAAGCAGCCATCAGCTGGAGCCGCCGCTCTGCTGTAAACAGTTTACTGGCTGTTAAAACATTTCAGATGACTGTGTTTCCAGATTCTCCCCAACGCCACGCCTCGTTTTTGTTTTAACTGCTTTGGCGTCGAGCTGGAGACGCACAGAGGAGAAATGAACTGTGTTTGTTACTTCCTGTGTTGTGGCACCAGTTGTTGAAGGAAGTGACCATTTCACACCTGTGCTGTGAAACTCAGTGGTGGAGTTTCCTGTTTCTTTGTTTCTCTGTGATGAAGCGGCGAAGTCATGGTTAAAGTGATGATCCTGATCATCGATACTGACGATAGAGGACTCACTGAAGCATGTTGACCCCTGACCTCTGGACGTTGATGTGTCAGCAGTGCAGCTGTGGCACATTTCAAATACATACATAAGATAAATATTTAGAAGAGTAACTGCGGACATTAAATCCTGAGGTTTAATAAGTAAGGAAACAGCATCTCGACCGACACAGTCAAACATTTCTTTCCTTTACTCACAGTGGAACATTTATTTATTTATTTATTTATTAATTATTAACAGTGAGGTATTAAAAGTTTTGGCGTCCCCAAACAGGAAGAATCAAAATGACGACACATTTCTTGACGCTCTCCTCCTTAAATCGTCTCTTTCTCTGATGAACCTCTGACATGTTTCCAACTACATAACGCAGCCTGAACAGTGGGTGGGTGTCGGGGGGGTTCTGGGTACAGGATGGACTGCAGCTCTCTTGCACCTGCCCCCATTAAAGCTCTGTGGTGACAGCCTATAATAACCCAGATCATACAGACCAGTCTTTCTCTGAAACCACTTCCTCCTGGGCTTCCTGCCTGTGTTGAAACAAACTGCGTCCTCGTTTGACGACATTTCCTCTGATTATTTGACCAAATGTTTGAAACGTGTCAGTTTGATTTGAGACAAATGTAAAAACTAACATGAGTCTTCTTCTTCTTCCTCCCTCTCTGCCTCCTCTTCCTCTTTCCAACCTTCTCAGAGTTTTCAAGAAGTCGAGCCCCAACTGTAAGGTGAGTCGTCTCTGCTGAGGTGATGGATACAGATACAGAGACCAGCTGAGGCCGAAGGGTTCAGACCGAGCAGCAGTGATGCTCCGGCTCAAACTGGATCTGTGGATTTATTTTAATAGTTTTCAGCTCCAAAATGAAAATCTGCAGTTTTGTTTTCCTCATGATGTCATTGACAATATTTATTTACAATACCAACTGTTTCTGAACAAAAATAACTTCACACAATGAATTAAAATAGAAACATAAACACATTAAAACATAAAATGAGCTGCAGCAGGATAAAAGAACGACTGCGTAGACGTGACTGTGTCCCATCATCTCCTTCATAATAATATTCAATTCAATTTTATTTATAAAGCCCAATATCACAAATCACAATTTGCCTCACAGGGCTTTACAGCATACGACATCCCTCTGTCCTTATGACCCTCACAGCGGATCAGGAAAAACTCCCCAAAAAAACCCTTTAACTGGGTTAAAAAAACGGTAGAAACCTCAGGAAGAGCAACTGAGGAGGGATCCCTCTTCCAGGACGGACAGACGTGCAATAGATGTCGTACAGAACAGATCAGCATGATAAATTAACAGTAATCCGTATGACACAATGAGACAGAGAGAGAGAGAGAGAGAGAGAGAGAGAGAGAGAGAGAGAGATGCAGGTAATGACAGTAGCTTACAACAACATTAATGAAAGTAATAATATTATAGTTATAGTTCTGGCTACTGTGGTACAATATGTTGAAAGTATGTATTAATATCTGACAGTATACTTGTGTGACAATAGTCATATGTGTATAATAACAGTAGAAGTATGACTAATGACTAATGATGGCAGCAGCAGCAGGAGGCATCTGGCAGGACCACGGCAGCAGCACAACCACACACGTCACGCTGTCCAGGCACCGCTGTGATATGAGTTAATCTGAGAGACAGTGGAGCACAAAGGCTCCGGAGAAGAAGCCGAGTTAGTGACATCCAGAATGGCCGAGTTAGCAAGATGCAGTAATAGAATACGAGAGAGAGAGAGAGAGAGAGGGAGAGAGAGAGGGAGCCCGGTGTATTATAGGGGGTCCTCCGGCAGACTAGGCCTAAGTCAGCCTAACTAGGGGCTGGTACAGGGCAAGCCTGAGCCAGCCCTAACTATAAGCTTTATCAAAGAGGAAAGTCTTAAGTCTAGTCTTAAATGTGGAGACGGTGTCTGCCTCCCGGACCGTAACAGGAAGATGATTCCACAGGAGAGGAGCCTGATAGCTGAAGGCTCTGGCTCCTGATCTGCTTTTGGAGACTTTAGGGACCACGAGTAACCCTGCGTTCTCAGAGCGCAGTGTTCTGGTGGGATAATATGGCACTATGAGCTCTCTAAGATATGACGGAGCTTGACCATTTAGAGCTTTATAAGTTAACAGTAGGATTTTAAATTCAATTCTGGATTTTACAGGGAGCCAGTGCAGAGAAGCTAAAACAGGAGAAATATGATCTCGTTTCTTAGTTCCTGTTAGTACACGAGCTGCTGCATTCTGAATTAGCTGGAGAGTTTTTAAGGACTTACTAGAGCTACCTGATAATAGAGAGTTACAGTAATCCAGCCTTGAGGTAACAAAAGCGTGGACCAATTTTTCTGCATCTTTTCGGGTCAGGATAGGCCTAATTTTCACAATATTACGCAGATGAAAAAATGCAGTCCGTGAGGTTTGCTTTAAATGAGAATTAAAAGACAAATCTTGATCAAATATTACTCCGAGGTTTCTTACGGTAGTGCTAGAGGCCAGAGCAATGCCATCTAGAGAAACTATGTCATCAGATAAAGAGTCTCTGAGTTGTTTGGGGCCAAGAACAATAACTTCAGTTTTGTCTGAATTTAACATCAGGAAATTGGTGCTCATCCATGTTTTTATGTCTTTAAGGCAGTTATGGAGTTTAGTTAATTGATTACTTTCTTCTGGCTTCATAGATAAATACAACTGTGTATCATCCGCATAACAATGGAAATTTATAGAGTGATTTCTAATGATGTTACCTAAAGGAAGCATATATAGAGTAAATAGGATTGGTCCGAGCACAGAACCTTGCGGAACTCCAAAACAAACTTTGGTACGTAAGGATGATTCATTACGAACGTCAACAAACTGAAAACGATCAGATAAATAAGATTTAAACCAGCTTAGTACTGAACCTTTTAGGCCAATTAAGTGATCCAGTCTCTGCAGTAGAATTTGATGGTCAATTGTGTCAAACTCCGCACTAAGATCTAATAAAACAAGAACAGAGACGAGTCCTTTGTCTGAAGCAATCAGAAGGTCATTTGTAATTTTAACTAGTGCTGTCTCAGTGCTATGATGCACTCTAAATCCTGACTGAAATTCCTCAAATAAATTATTATCCTGGAGAAATAAACAATAACTTTATCTGATTTAAGAACTAAACTGGATAAAAACTCTGAGAATTCAGATACAAATTCAGAATACGGGCCAGGAGCACGGTACACTTTAACAAATAAAAGTGGCTGCGAGGTTTTCCAGGTCGGATGTAAAGCACTAAGAACGAGGCTTTCAAATGAATTATAATCTAGTTTAGGTTTAGGGCTGATTAACAGACTAGAGTTAAAAATGGCTGCAACTCCCCCTCCTCGGCCGCTGCCTCGAGGAATGTGGGTATTATTATGACTGGGAGGAGTGGACTCATTTAGACTAACATATTCATCTTGACACAGCCAGGTTTCAGTGAGACTGAGTAAATCAATATGATTATCTGATATTAATTCGTTTACTAACACTGCTTTAGACGATAGAGACCTGATATTTAACAGTCCGCATTTAATTCTCCTGTTTTGTCTTTCTGTCACAGAAGAGGTTTTAATTTTTATGAGGTTGTTATGCACAACTCCTCTTTGTTTAATTTTAGATTTAAATAATTTAGGTGGTCGGGGGACAGACACCGTTTGTATTAAACTATGAAAACTATGGCTGGGTAACTGAACTAGAAGCTCAGAGATGCGTATAGGACTGTGACTCTGAGTCCTGGTCTCAACTCTGGGTTGTCAGGGATTTAAATTACTAATAAAGTTTTCCAGGTTCCTAGAGATGAGAGCAGCTCCATCCAAAGTGGGTTGAATGCCGTCTCTCCTAATAAGACCAGGTTTTCCCCAGAAAGTTTGCCAATTATTAACTAAACCCACATCGTTTGCTGGACACCACCTGGACAGCCAGCGGTTAAATGATGACATGCGGCTAAACATGTCATCAGTGGTCAGATTTGGGAGGGGTCCAGAGAAAACTACGGAGTCCGACATTGTTTTTGCATATTCACACACCGAGGCAATATTAATTTTAGTGACCTCCGATTGGCGTAATACCAGCATGATTTTTAATATCATATTAAAAGATTCATGTCATTAAACTCGACTTGTTGATGTCATACTGTTACCCATAGCAACAACACTCACGGCTACAAGTAGGGATGCACAATATATAAACAGGGCCGATGATGTGACATCTTTATAAGTATGCATTATTGTGATCACAGCTGATGTATAGAGACAGTAATAATAATTCTAATGTGTGCAGGTGACAGTTTACCTGGGAAAGAGAGACTTTGTGGATCACCTGGACCACGTGGACCCAGTGGGTGAGTCGCCTCCTCTCTTTCTACGTTCACATTCAAATGTTCTTTAATATTCGTGAAGTCAAAAGTTGCAGATGTCGTCATGTTTGTTCAGGTGACGTGTTTGTCTTTGGTATTTGTTTTATTTTTTAAAAATACATTTTTATTATTATTTCTTTCTCCCTTATTTTAATGAACGAGGTATCCGTGTTGTTATTATTGTTATTTTTATGTTTATTTCATTTATTTTCCCGTTACTGTTTCATTTGTTGTTGTTATTGTTTAATTTTTTAAGAATGACAGTAATAATAGTAATTCTTAATAATACCTTATTTTATTTAATTCGCTATTTGTTTGTTTTCATTCATTTTTATTATCTGAGTAATTAATCGTTTATTATGAAATCACAATTATTTATTTTATTTCATTTATTATTTGTTTTCTTTGTTATGATGATTTTTTGACTAATTTCTCGACAGTAATTGGTCTGTTTATTCCAAATAAACCTGATGATGATGTCGTTAATGATAAATAATAATAAGAGTTGATTATGAAAGTAGGGCTGCCACTAACGATTATTTTCATTGTTGACTAATCTGTCGATTATTTCTTCGTTTAGTCGACTAATCATTTCATGGAAAAAGGTGTTAAAATGTTGAAAAATGTCCGTCTGTCTCGCCCAAATCCCAAAATTATGTCATCTAATGTCTTGTTTCATACTCACGCCAAAGAGTTTTAGTTCACTGTCACGGGAGAGTGTGTAAAGCTGCCAATATCTGAATGTAAGAGGCTGCAATAAGAGTATTTTGGAGTACTTTTATAGTACTTTTCTATGAAAAATGACTCAAACCGATTAGTCGACTACTAAAATAGTCACCGATTATTTTAATAGTTGATTAGTCATCGATTAGTCGACTAATCGTGGCAGCCCTATATGAAAGTCACCTGAGCAGAGTTTGTGTTTATGAATCTGTCACAGCAGAAACTGTCACGTGAAGTTTGTTGGAGGCAGGTTTGTGATGATCTGTCTGTCTGTGTGTCCGTCTGTGTTCTTCCTGCTGACAGATGGAGTGATCCTCGTCGACCCCGAGTACCTGAAGGACAGGAAAGGTACGACAACTTCCTGTTAGGAAGGAGCCTGCAGTCACAGCTGCAGCAGTCTGAACTCTTACCTCAGTTAAAGTGTGTTCACATCTCATCATAGATTTATTATGTCTGCTGTTAAATATGTGTCAAAGCTTGATGATGGATTTATTTTATCATATGTGGCGTTTATTTTAGACGTGTTGTTAAAAGTCTTTCTGATGAATAAATCTAGTCAGTTTTTAAATGATGGATTCATCCAGAGTTTATTAATTAGTGTGTGAAAGCTGCTGCTCAGATAAACTGAATGAATTCAAATGGTTTTAAAAAGCAAAAATAAAATAAATGTGTTATAATGAGATCAACAGGAAACAATGAAACAGAGACGGACACAGAGATGAAGAAAATATCAGAACAATAACCTTACTCAGAACACTAGAGTATTAGATAAAGAGTTTCCTAAAGATGAAGCAGCAGGTAACACTGCTCCTCTTCCTCCCTGTAGTCTTCGTCACACTCACCTGTGCATTTCGTTACGGCCGTGAGGACCTGGACGTCCTGGGTCTGTCCTTCAGGAAGGATCTCTACATCTCCACCTTCCAGGTCAGAGCTCCACCTCCGACTACACCTCACACACCTCACACACCTCCGACCACACCTCACACACCTCACACGCCTCCGACTACACCTCACACACCTCACACACCTCCGACTACACCTCACACACCTCCGACTACACCTCACACACCTCACACACCTCCGACTACACCTCACACACCTCACACACCTCCGACTACACCTCACACACCTCACACACCTCCGACTACACCTCACACACCTCACACACCTCCGACTACACCTCACACACCTCCGACTACACCTCACACACCTCACACACCTCCGACTACACCTCACACACCTCACACGCCTCCGACTACACCTCACACACCTCACACACCTCCGACTACACCTCACACACCTCCGACTACACCTCACACACCTCACACGCCTCCGACTACACCTCACACACCTCACACACCTCCGACTACACCTCACACACCTCCGACTACACCTCACACACCTCACACACCTCCGACTACACCTCACACACCTCACACACCTCCGACTACACCTCACACACCTCACACACCTCACACACCTCCGACTACACCTCACACACCTCCGACTACACCTCACACACCTCCGACTACACCTCTGTAGTTGTTTCCAGGTTTCACTGTAAGGTTAATCAGATGTCTGCAGGCTAAATACTGTCTCCTCTGTCCCCGTGTCTCCGTCCCTCTGTCTCCTCAGGCTTTCCCTCCGGTGCCTGAGGAGAAGAAACCCAACAGTCGGCTGCAGGAGAGGCTGCTGAAGAAACTGGGCCAACATGCACACCCCTTCTACTTCACTGTGAGTCCCTGCCTGTCCTCGACATGTCTCTCTACAGTTTAAAGGAGATAAAAACTTGTGCAGCAGAGCCTGCACACGTGGCCTACACTGATGTGAGCATTTGTACCTGTGTGGTGGTGTGTCTGTGTCACTCTGCAGTTACACCTCCAAAACACTAGTAGGCGGTGGATGTTTCTGTGAAGTGCTGTAAAGTTTAGTTGATTCAAACACACATTAAACACAGGTTAAACATGGCTTAATAGAGACAGTTTCAGACACAAATCAGCTTCACTATAACTCGCAGCATTCACAGACAAACACTTGTTATACATTTTACATTGTATAAATTAGCCTAGCAGCTAGCAGAGATTTCCTCTGCTCATATTTCAGCCAGGATAAATCACACACAGTGTGTGGAGGCTTTATTGTCTTCACAATTTATTGTTTCTTATCTGTGAAATTAAAGTAAATCAAAGCTTTGTTTCCACTGAGGGAAATGGTTTCAGCTTACAGAGACAGACAGGAGGTCTGCGTCACTGTGACTTTAGCTTTAGCAGGCTGTGCCCTCAGCTACAGGTCCGGACAGACGGGTGGTCAGACAGCGTCCTCGGGCTGCTGCAGCTTGTGTCCAGCCTCGAGGTCTGACTGTACTCGACTTAGACGTAGACAGACAGAAACAAACCTTTGTCTCCTGTTTGATTTGATGAAGTTATACTAAAGAAGAAATTCAGGCTGTTTCCACCACAGGAAGTAAATGTGCGTTTCAACCAGAGGAAACAGGAACTAAAGTCGTGTTTCCACCAACTTTTCAGTCCCAGGAACTAAAAGGTTCCTTCAGCTCATTGTTGTTTGTGTTTCCACGGCTGTCTAAGGATCAGTGAAGGTGACGCACATCAGTCCGCTGACATATGAATAAGTGACGGCTGTTTTATTCATCATGTCTGAAACTCCTCAGCACGAACACATCAGTCCGTCTGTCGTATGATTTCTTCTGTAATCCGTCTTAACATGTTGAAGCACAAGAGCATAGTGTTCACACTGTCCTGGAAAACCTGGAAAAGTTATGGAATTTGTTGTCGTTTTAGAACATGCCTGTTTGTAATGAACAGATTGTTCGGTCTGTGGTGTTGCTGCTCATCTAAACAACCTCACAGTCGACACTGAGCCTCTTTGTGTCCTGAACAACTCACCACACAGCTGCAGATTTAAGATGATGTTTAGAGATGAAAAATATTTAATGGTGTTGCTGTTCTGAGTCGTTGTACCCTGGCACACTACTTACTCACTGTGTAGTACTACCACAGAGGAAACACATTGTCGGTCTGCAGTTACCTTAACAAAAATCTAACAATTAAAATCAGTTTTATATGAAATATAAAAGCTACACATTGAACAGAAGTGCAGTAAATGAAGTACACAGGGCTGATGATGATGCTGTTTGTTTCTCAGTCTTCAGTTTAAGTAAATATTGGAATGCAGAATTTTTACTGCACAGTTTTAAGAGTTTTACATTAATGGTTAATAGTTTCACCTCAGCAAATAAGTTTGGAGTGGGCCTCTTTCCTTTTACACACGTCAGTGTCCCAGTTAGAGAATCACTAAATCCGCCCCCACTGTTACAAACTCACTCACTCACTCCCAAATCGGGGTGTTAGTCACTGGCTTTGACGCTACCAGTGCGGTTATAAAGTAGAGCATGGCAGAGTCCTGCACGGGTCCATTTTTGAAAACCTGCACCCGCAACCCCAAAGGTTACATTGGTGTCACTGACTTTCAGAATGGAACGAACCGCAGCTTGATAACAGAGATTTAGATGTTAGAATATTACCCATATACTGCACAGCTTTTTACTTTGTATTATTTTTTTCTGAAGAATAAACCAATAGATTTTTGTCCCCACCTGCTGCCGGCCTGCGCGGAGTTAATTTTTACCTGTGAATTTATGTATAAATACATATTTTTACCTGTTACACAGCATGTTGTGTGTTACCTGTCGGGTACCTGACCTGCTGCAGGACTCCGACGCATGGATTAAGATGTTTTGCTCGTAGTCCATCTCTCCCCTTCCTGTGTGCCAACAAGCTGGAATTATGTTTGAATCTGATGTTTAAAAAAACATTCGGCAGGTTTGCAAGACTTTTTTTAAATTTGTTATAGGTCCTTTTAAATCCTGGTAAAGTTTTGTCCATGAAAGGTGTGGGAACCCTGACTGTATTTCCTGTGAATTCTTCATAGTAAAAGTCAGCTCAGTAAAATGCTTTTAATGTGAAGCACTCTGAGCATCATCGATGAACATCGTCTCCTGTAAAATGTTTGGTGTAATCAGTCACACAGATGTTGTCAGGAGTTTATGAAGCAGTGGGAAAATGTTTCGGTGTTTCTACGACAGACAGACAGATGACTCTGTGCTGTTGTTTCCTGTTTTGGCAGCAGGTGGATTTGAATACAAATAAAGGGCCCATTAAATGTTAAGTTCCTGGAAAAATGTGACAGTGAACTGATAAGTGACGGGGCTTTTATTTAAAACACTTCCTCAGAGTTGCTCTGAGTAAATCCTGTAAATGAGACTGACAGAGCTTCACGTTCCTGCAGACAGACTAAAGTCCTGCTCGGTGTGTGAAGCCCTCAGTGGTTTGTCTGTGTGCTGAAGCAGCTTTTAGGATGTTGATGATCTCATCAGAGTCGTGATCGCACTTCTCACTGAAAAAATTAACAACGTGACGCCATCGGCTTGACCTCACAGCTGCATGTTCAAACCTCTGATTGCAGAGAAATCTGCATCATCACAACATTAAACTGTTGAGTTTTAATAAATTACATTCAGTAGGTTTTTGAATGAATGAATGAATGAATGAATGAAGTGTCTGTATTTCAGAAATTCAGATATGAAGCACTGATTGTATTGTTTTTGTTTGTGTCTCTGCTGATTCAGATTCCTCAGAACCTTCCGTGTTCAGTCACTTTACAGCCCGGCCCAGAGGACACTGGGAAGGTAACGTACACACACACACATACACACACACACACACACACACACAGTGATTAAGTATTTCCTTGAGCTGAATACACCATGACCTGTGTATTTAGTTTTCATCTTAGTCACGTTGACTTCCTGTTCAGTCTCCTCTTAAAGCTTTTATATCACTTGTCATTTTAATTTTCATTTTTGTGCCTGAGCTAAACCTATAAGACAGACAAAATCTCTCAGTCTGTAGGAGGTTTCAGTTTGGGTCAAAGGTTCAGTGTAAACAGACAGGATGAATTCGACCTGCTCAATCTGTGACACAGATCAGAATAAATAAAACAGTTATAAAATATAAAGGTGTGTCCTCAGGTGTGTTTCAGCAGGTTTACATATAATCAGAGTTAAATGTGTGCAGTCTCTGAACGTACAGTCTGTCCTCGTGTCTCTGCAGGCCTGCGGTGTCGACTTTGAGATCAGAGCTTTCTGTGCCAAGTCAATAGAAGAGAAGATTCACAAGAGGTGAGTTCACACCTGCAGGAAATAACTGGTTTATAGGGTTATGAGGACTCAGAGATCCTACAGAGAATCAACAGATTATTTTATTGAAGTCCTGATTCAGTGAACAGCTCTGTGCATGCGTGTCAGGGCTGAACTCCACTGTGCGCAATACAGAGAGCAGAGGAGAGTTGTAAACGCGCGACCATGTAGAGACAGAAATGATATGCCGTCATGTAAACAATACAAGTCATCACGTGTGCCGCATAATCGTGATTTCAATTTTGACCAAAATAATCGTGATTATGATTTTTTGTCCATAATCGAGCAGCCCTACTCTGGACAGGGCTTTTTGTAGACCTGTATACGTGTCCTGTAGTACTGGAGTCCTGTATATGTGTCCTGTAGTACTGGAGTCCTGGATATGTGTCCTGTAGTACTGGAGTCCTGTAGTACTGGAGTCCTGTATATGTGCTAGGGTTGGGTACCGTTCATAATTGAACCGATACGGTACCAGTACCGGTATCTGGAATTCGGTACCGGTACCAAACGGTACCTTATTTTGGTACTTTTTAACCCTATGGGCCCTAGGCCTTTTTGGGGTATTTTTACTGCCTTTACTTTTAAGCTCACAGTCATTATAAAGGCTACATACACATGCTATATCTTGTTTTTTTTCTTCTATGTGCCTGTATTTTATATTATTTTTATATCAATGAAAAAAACAAATCTGTGTGCCTAAATTCTTACATTTTTACGTGTATCTCACCATAGCAAGTTGGAAAAGGACATATTCTGCCATATATGAAGAGGGGAGACTCTCTGGAATCTGGCAATATAAGAACCATGATGGTGGGACATTCTGTCACTTCACAGTTGTCCAAAACATATGGTTTGTGCCAGGCGGACATGATTGACAGTATTTTTTCATTCTTGCAAGAAATTCCATTGACTCATTCACAAGTCAAAAATGTGTTTTATCTGAAAGAAACATGCAATATTCACATCTAAGATCATAGAAAAATAGTCAACCAAGTGCAATGATGTCCTCCAAGATAATATTTGTTTTTCAGTTTCAGTTATATATTGGGGGGGCATTTTGGGCATTGGTGGGGGGGCACGTGTCCCCCTCAATGTATATGGTGACTACGGCCCTGTCAGCATGCATAATTAGGCTGCAGTTGTCTGGGTGCGCAAAGGTGAAGTTCGCTGGTCTTGTCATACAAAGTTTGACGGAGTGTCAACTGGACAATATGGAGATATTTGCATCTTGAAAGCCGGACTACAAATGTGGATAGACAGGGAGAAACACACACAAGCCTAAGACGTGGTAAGATACGATATTCTTCACTGTATGAAGTGACTGATAACAAGATCTGTATAATGGATTGTAAAGAAATTCGTCAGGTTTTTATTTTGTAGACAATTGATCTGGATTTAGAGCGCGATGGGATGACAGCACAATGTGTGTGGTCCTGCGCTTTCATGTGATATGCGTGGCATTTCTGTGCGAGCCTGCGTTCGCAAGTAATCCATCCAAGAGTAACGTGTGTGCAAAGCTGTATGAAAGCTCTGTTATACATCATTTTATTGTAATTTTCGCTGTGAAAACATTGGATTACCGACAAGTGCTTGGTCTTGTCGCAAAGCTACAATTCTGCTGTTTCCGCTGATTTGCATGGCTTCTTGCTATGACGCACGGTCGTGGAGAAAATCCACAGAGAAGAACGGGTGTGAATTTGGACGCACTATGCGTTGTTCAGGCCCATAGTCTAAACTTCTCAGTTTCAACATTTTATTGAGAACATTTAGGAACAGTGCTGCACGTTAACTTTTGTCTGCACATTGTTTTTGTCGCCATTGTTGCTGAGTCTGAGGTGCGAGTCATGCGCTCTCGCTCCGCCTCCACCTCAGGTACCGAAATTTGGCACCGTTTCATTTTAAGTGAATCGGTACTCGGTAGTACCGATGTGAATCGGTACCAAGTACAAAAAGTACCGAGTTTTGGTACCAAACCCTAATATGTGCCCTGTAGTGCTGGAGTCCTGTATATGTGCCCTGTAGTGCTGGAGTCCTTTATATGTGCCCTGTAGTGCTGGAGTCCTGTATATGTGCCCTGTAGTGCTGGAGTCCTGTATATGTGTCCTGTAGTGCTGGAGTCCTGTATATGTGCCCTGTAGTACTGGAGTCCTGTATATGTGTCCTGTAGTGCTGGAGTCCCTTATATGTGCCCTGTAGTGCTGGAGTCCTGTATATGTGCCCTGTAGTGCTGGAGTCCTGTATATGTGCCCTGTAGTGCTGGAGTCCTGTATATGTGCCCTGTAGTGCTGGAGTCCTGTATATGTGCCCTGTAGTGCTGGAGTCCTGTATATGTGCCCTGTAGTGCTGGAGTCCTGTATATGTGCCCTGTAGTGCTGGAGTCCTGTATATGTGCCCTGTAGTGCTGGAGTCCTGTATATGTGTCCTGTAGTACTGGAGTCCTGTATATGTGTCCTGTAGTACTGGAGTCCTGTATATGTGTCCTGTAGTGCTGGAGTCCTGTATATGTGTCCTGTAGTGCTGGAGTCCTGTATATGTGTCCTGTAGTGCTGGAGTCCTGTATATGTGTCCTGTAGTACTGGAGTCCTGTATATGTGTCCTGTAGTGCTGGAGTCCTGTATATGTGTCCTGTAGTGCTGGAGTCCTGTATATGTGTCCTGTAGTGCTGGAGTCCTGTATATGTGTCCTGTAGTGCTGGAGTCCTGCATATGTGTCCTGTAGTAGTGGAGTACTGTGTGTATAATTGTAGTATCTGGTGTGTACTGCAGGAACTCGGTGCGTCTGGTGATCAGGAAGGTTCAGTATGCTCCAGAGAAGCCTGGTCCTCAGCCGATGGTGGAGACGACCCGAAGCTTCCTGATGTCTGACAGATCTCTACACCTGGAGGCGTCTCTGGACAAGGAGGTACACGGCACTAAGCGTCACAGATCATCCTTTGTCCCGTTTGCTGTTGCTTATGTTCACCAGCAGTGACCACTGATGTCAATGATTCACCCCTGACTGTGTGATACTGTCTTTATAAGACACTGATGAATGTCTTCTTTTCCCATGATCCCAGCTGTATTACCACGGAGAGCCCATCAGCGTCAACGTTCACGTCACCAACAACTCCACCAAGACCGTCAAGAGAGTCAAGATCTCTGGTACGTCTTCGTCTTCTTCTTCTCCTTCGTCTTCTTTCTTTGTTGTTTTTCCTTTTCTCTCTTCGTCCTCTTCTTTTGTATTTATTCCTGGATTTACTTCTGCTTTTTGTTATCTCTTCTTCTTCATTGTCTTCTTTTTCTCCTCCTTCCTCTCTGTCATCTCATTCTTTGTTTTCCTTTTGTCATCTCGACTTCCTCTTTTCTTTGATTATGAAAAGTCAGATCATTTTTACTCTGGTGACTTTTGGATATTTGGTCAAGATTTGTTCTGAATCTGAACAGAAACTGAACCATTGTTTGCTGATCTGAGTCCTGAGAGTGAAACCGTTACTGTGTCTCTGTCCATCTCTTTGTGTCTCTGCAGTGCGTCAGTATGCAGACATCTGTCTGTTCAGTACTGCCCAGTATAAATGTCCAGTGGCCCAGCTGGAGGCAGAGTAAGTCCCAGTTAATGTCGCTGTGCTCCCAGTAAAAGAATAATTAAAGATTATTAAGTAGAAATGAAGTGACACTGAACACCTCCTGATTCTGTGACTCAGCTCATGTGTTTCTGGCCTTCAGAGTTACTTTGTAAAACAAGAGATTAACATTTATTGAAAGTGATAAAACAAAACCTTGAAAAAGCTTCCAGTCTTTGATCATATTTTACAAAGATGAGTTTGAGAAACTGGTTTAAACTAAAGATAAACTGGACTGAACCATGAATAAACCAGATTTAAGTCAGTTTAAACTGGTTTTAACTGGCTGTAACTAGTTTAGCATAAAGTTCATGTTTACTGGTTTGAACCAGAGATGAACAACATGATGATGTTACTACACCGTCACACTGTGATTGTACTGACGACCTTTGACCTGGGATCAGTAGGCGGGTTTACCTGAACAGTTTGATTAACAGCAGTGTGTCGTCTCCATAGCGACCAGGTGTCGTCCAGCTCCACCTTCTGTAAGGTGTACACTCTCACCCCGACGCTCGACAAGAACAGAGAGAAGAGAGGACTCGCTCTGGACGGCAAGCTCAAACATGAAGACACCAACCTGGCCTCCTCCACCATGTAAGCACACACACAGCACACAGGTGCACACACAGCGCACAGGTCCGCACACAGGTGTACAGGTGTGTCAGGAAGGTCACATGACCCACGACCTCTCTGCTGTGTGTTTCAGTGTGAAGGACGTCACCAACAAGGAGGTCCTGGGGATCCTGGTGTCCTACAGAGTCAAAGTCAAGCTGGTGGTCTCACGTGGAGGGTACGACACACACACACACATACACACACACACACACACACACACAGAGTCCCCTCCTACTGCTAACATCACTTCCTGTCCTCTCAGCCTCACTGCTGATGTCATCAGTGGAGTTTTGATATTTCTAAGCACCTTGAGGTCGAGCTGTGCTCACGTTCATCAAGTTTTAATCACATCAGTCCTTAAGTTATCGTCAGTTGTATATTTGTAATAAGTATTTTTATATAAAATCCATCCCTTATTCATAATCCCATCAACATATTAGCGACTTAAACAAGAACAAATCCGGATGAGGGATTCTGTTCCCATCCTTCCTCTACAGTTTGACCTGCAGCTCACCTCCTGTGCTTATATCAGAGACAAAAAAACAGAAATATTAGTTTGATTTTGTTTTTGAAATCCTTCAGAAGTATGTTCATATGATACAGAAGCATATTGCTGCCACGCCAGTGAACAAAAATATCAGTGTCAGGTGGACACGTGAAAAGTTTCTTGTGATAACAAGAAGTTTTTTATGTTTTTACAAGATAATTTCACTTTATAACAAAGAACCTTTCATGCTCACAACAAATCCTGATCAGGGCCGTAAATCACCAGTTTCATCACGATACCATTTATATCGATTCTTTGGACAATGACACGATATTTTCCGATATTACAAAGTCTGCCACGATACGATTTTGATTTGATACGATTCAGGGGGCGAAGATCGATATTAGGAGACATTAGATGTCCATTTAACTCAGTCTGTTACTGAAGAAGCTGCTGCAGCTTTACTTTTTACTTTGGACCATAAAACACATAAACAACTCATAAATAATAACAGTAAAGCTGACTTTAAACTGACTCCACTAACACACAGGAAACAGCGCCTGGGATCAGTTAGACACCTTTTCATTTTAACCCAAACTTTCATCTTTTTCATAAACCTTATTGAATATCTGTCTCGAAGCTCTGAATGAGGCGGAGTCATACAATGGCAGGGTGGTGATTCTAGTTTAAATGAAGTGGCAGCAATTTGCGTCCATATCATATAAACATTTTCCTGAAGGATTTAAAAAACAAAATCAGTGTAATATTTCTGTTTTTTTCTGATGTGAACATACGAGACGAGTCGCAGGTCAACTGTAGAGAAAAGTTCTGTTTCCCGTCTGAATTTGTTCTTGTTGCTAAATTGTCCTCAACTGGATTTTGAATGTTTTGGGGGGTTTTTGGCAGAAATGAACTTCTGTGATAAGAGAAGAGAAAAAGTTTGTGGTGATTTAATCAACTGACGTTCACAAGGTCAAAATTAAACTTTTAACCTCAGTTTATTTTAAGTGTCAAACGTGTGTGTGAAAATTCTAAACCCTGATCGTCCATGTCAGTGCAGCTCGGCCTCAGCTTCCTGCTTCGTCCTCTAACTTCCTGTCGTCAGTTACCGTGGAAACTGTCTGCTTGTTGCTGTAGTTGCTTCTCACTGTGCTCGCTTAGTTTGTCAACATGTTGTGAACGTGTCGCCTCCTGCTTTTCATTTCATCTCCCTCTGTGTTTCTGGCTTTTTGTTTGGCTCCTCCTCCTCTTCCTCCTCCTCCTCCTCCTCCTCCCTCTGTGTGTCCCCCTGCAGGCTGCTGAGAGGCATGTTGGACAGGTAAATGTGACGACAGCCTCAGAGTTCACTCAGTCTGATCCTGAAACATAGAAAACATGATTTAAAACACAATGAAAATCTGCTAACCTGACGTGCCACACTGTGTGTGATTTATCCTGGCTGAAATATGAGCAGAGGAAATCTCTGCTAGCTGCTAGGCTAATTTATACAATTTAAAATGCCAAAGGCTTGTGCTAATAACGTTAGCATGTTGTATTTGTTTGGAAAATGTGTTTAGTATAAAACAGTTGAACCTTGTGAGCTGTGATTGAGCTGAATTGTGTAACGTTACCTTTGTTTAATGTTGCTGTTGTCCCTGGTTGTATATGAGTAGAGAAGAAGTCTGCTAGCTGCTAGGCTAATTTATACAATGTAAAATGCCATAGGTTTGTGCTAAAAACATTAGCATGTTGTATTTGTGTGTGTTAGCCGCTGCTGCTAATTAGCTTGTGCTAACACTCTGGAGACAGGCCTTCAGGGCTCTGTCTAACGTGTCAGGAGGTCAGAGGTCAGATCCTCGGTGACGTCCTGTTGTCTTCCTCTGGAGCTGTGCAACACGTCCACACCGCAACACGTTATTTCTTCCCGACAGCTGCTGCAGTTGTTGTTCTTCCCTGTGTTTATTGGCGGCTCACAAACCAAGTTTAAAGGAACATGTAGCGCCACCCACTGTTGCCCTTGTTAAGTCAATGAAAGCAGTTTGGCTTCGTATTATCAGCGCTGTTTATCTGCTGTAATTTTTATTATCAGAATAATGGATAATGATAAAAATGTCCCATTATCGGCAGATGATTTACTGGCTGATACATATCGTTCATTCCTAGTTTAAACTCGTATTAAGCAGGTTTTAACTGATTTTAAATGATAAACTGTTTCTAAATCTTTTATAATAAGAGACAAGTTGCTTTAAACCAGAAATAAACTGGTTTAATTTACAGATCATACCCAGAGGATGAAACCGTCTCCCTCTGAGGTTCTGTGCACGTGACGACTCAAACTAAAGGCTTTTAATGTGAAACATCAGTATCAGTGTCAAACAGCAGAGTGATGACATCACTCTCTTTACTGACTGAGTTAGCCTCATGCTAAGCTAGTTTAGCTTTTGTTGTGATGAACACTTTAAACAGGTCCAGGATCAGTGACGGCCTGTTTGTTTGTTTGTTTGTTTTTCAGAGACGTGTCGGTGGAGCTGCCCTTCATCTTAATGCATCCTAAACCTGTGGAGCCGCCGCTGTCCCGCCCACAGTCAGGTGACCTCACAACACACTGACACAAGCATTCATCAACCAATCAGAGCGACTCAGTGTTACCTGTTTGTTTATTACCAACATTCATCTGTCATATCAATAATCTGACGACCAGCTCAGGGGCCGGCCGCACAAAGCACCTTAAGTCTGCTCCTTAAGTGTGACTCTTAAGGTTTAGTTTTTCCTTAGCTGAGCAAATTACTTAAGGCTGTTGCTCAGAATCTCTTAAAAGGTTTTCTTAGTAAAGGAAAGACGTTACACACTACACAGCATCAGCCTGATGAAAGTCTGGTGCAGCGTCATGCACGCGATCATCATAATCATTTTATTTCGTGTAGTGTGTCATAGTAGACGACAACCGACGCCACGTCTGGGACGCCTCACGACGTCCTGACAGAAAGTCTTGTTTGATTTTCTTTTTGTCTTGTATCAAGTTTAAGAAATCCTCACTTGAGGCGCTCTGTGCAGCCGGCCCCAGAAATTTAAGGAGTTCTTAATGTCAGAGGTCACGTTAGCTCAGGACATACAACACACACACACACACACACACACACACACACACACACACACACACACACACAAACACTGTCGGTCTTTATGTAACTCTCTGGTGTTTTCCATCCTCGTCCCGTCTTTATCATGAGCTGAACTTCCATGGAGAAGAAGAAACAGTTTCCATGGAAACCGTGGTGTGACATGCTTATAATATGTGTGTGTGTTTGTGCGTGTGTGTGTGTGTGTTACAGCTGTGCCAGAGATGGACCCCCCCATCGACACCAATTTGATAGAATTTGACACAAAGTGAGTATCAAGTCTTCGTCCACCTGAGAACAATAATCGATCAGTAAATGACCCAGTGATCAATGAGTCCAGTCATCACTTCATTAATTCATTAATCATTTGATCTGTTTTCAGTCATTTTTCACATAGAAACATTTCATGGTTCAGTTTCACAAACCTTTCCTCTGAATGAGTGAAATTCTGGGCCGACACCGATGTTTTGTTGTTGTTGTTGTTGTTGTTGTTGTTTCTGTAGTGTTTGTTGTTATTTATTTGCCAGGAAAAAGGGAAATAAATAACAACAAACACTACAGAACACTTCTTTAATATTTTATCGCTGCGTAGATGTGCAGATATCTGTTTACTGAGATCTGAACGAACTACAGGTCTGTGGGCTGATGGGAGATGGTGTCCTTTAAAAGCTGCTTTATTTTTTATGCCTCTGTGCCGGTGATACCTGCGACCGGAGGCGTTACGTTTTCAGTCCATCTGTCCCATTCTTGTGAACGCAAGAACGCCTCGAGTAAAAAAATAAATAAATAAATAAATAAATATTTATTTTGTTAATTTATTTTTTTTTGGGGTCAACTTCAACTCAGGGATGAACTGATTAAAATTTGGTGGTCAAAGGTCAGAGTTCAAGGTCACTGTGACCTTGTGTGTAGCATTTCTATGAATGCAATATCTCAAGAAGGCCTTGAGGATTTTTTATTTATTTATTTATTTTTCAAATTTGACACAAACGTCCACTGGGAGACTCTGTAGCTGTTAGAATTATTAAAAATGTTGATATGATGTGATATGACAGTAAGTTTTCTTACTGATCAATTCGTTGTTCTAAACTCAGTGTGTCTCTGTTCGTCCTCTCAGCAGCATCTCCCAGGACGACGACTTCGTTTTCGAGGACTTCGCCCGCCTGCGGCTCAAAGGCGTCGTGGATGACAAAGATGAGGACTGCTAGGAGCTCGCCAACCCTTCATATGCTCGCTTCGGAAACCACACACACACACACACACACACACTCACTCTCTTACACACACTCTTACACACTCCTACACTGTTCACGTTACATTCCCCAGTGGAGGGGATGGATGAGGGCATGTTCAGGACGGAGGGGGGGGGCTCGCTGGTGTTCTTCCTCTCTTGCTTCAGCCATTTTTGTCATGCCGCCGCCATTTTTCGCCGCTGTCTTCTCCATCTGTCTGTCTGTTTCTCTTTTTGCTGATAAACTCTAAATGTTGAGCAGCTGCAGGACAGATGAGGCGGAGCGGATCGAGTGAAGGAACGATCCATCAGCTGACGCAGAAGGAAAAAAAAAGACGTGTAGGAAGCTGCAGCGCTCGTTCCTGCTTTTACTTTGAAATCTTTTTTTGAATGTCGACCGTTTCCACGGCGACGATCATCGTCTTGTACAAACAGAATATATATTTGAAACATAGAAAAAAATGTACGAGCAGTTGAGATCCGTGTCCCATGGTGATCGCCGCTTTTCTTCTTCGAGTAAATTATTCCTGTAGATGCTTTTTACATCATGGCTGCAAGGGGAGGACACACACACACACACACACACACACACACACACACACTCTGCAGTCTTACACAGATTTCACCAGCATCCTCTCTCGTCACTCTGAACCCTGTTGTCCATTTTGTCTCATGTTCGTTCTGTCAGCTGCACTGTTTGTTTCTTCGGCTTTTATTTTGAAAGAACCATTCCAGCGTTGATGGAGAGTTTCCTTTTTGTTTCGAACACTTTCTCAAGTTAACAAATCAGTTTGTTTATGTTCAAAGTTTTTTTCTTTCTGTCATCAGATTTCATGACAACAAAAGCAAAACAACCTGTTAGTCCGTCCCTCAGTACTGTCTGACTTCCTGTCTGTGTCATCGGTTCCTGTGGAAGACGGAAACCTTTAGAAACAAAACTAATTCAATTTAAAATTGAATTAATTTAAAATGACAAAAGTTTATCCTACAGGACAGGAACATTTGTCATTTTGGGACTTTGGACTTTGTGTCAAATTCTTAAATTAACAAACAATCACATCAAAAGACAAAAAGCAACAAAATGTTTCGTCAAAAACAAAAACGTAAAACCGTTCTTTCTTTAAACATCTCGGCACCATCACGTTTCAGTAAATGTTTCTCAAAGAGCAGGATTTGTTGGTTTATATAAAATACGGAGTTTCAAGAAATCAAAATATTCTGAGAAAAAAGTTGTGAAATTTCAAGAAAAAGAAATCTAATTCATGTGTTCCTTAGAAATACCAAAAATAAAATTATTTTACAAAGAAATAAAGAAATCCCACGAAAGACCAAACGTGTTTAATTTTTAAATAAAAGTTCAATAATTTTGAAAACATGCATCCATCGACCTAAAGAAAAATATAGATCTTGAAGACTCGACAGACTGAAGGGAAAAATTAGATTTCAAGAAATAAATTTAAAATACTTTGAGAAAAATAAGTTGAGAAATTTCCAGGAATAAAAATGTATTTGTTTCGTTAATTCCATAAATACTCTGAAAAAAGTTGTAATTCTACAAGAAAAATAACAAAAATAACTCCTGAACATTGAAGACGAGAAGACCAACGTCTCATTTTTTGAAAAGCAGTTCAGTTCATGTCTGAAACTTTTTGTATTCACTGATTTAAAGAAAAATAAAATAATATGGAGTATAAGATTCACTGCAGGAAAAAATTTGATTTCAAGGATTAAATCAGTAAAATTTTAGGGAAAAAGTCCTGATGTTACAAGAAAAAGATTCAAGAAAATAAAATCTGCTTTTTAAAAAAGTATTTCAAGTTTTACAAGAATAAAGTTGTGATTTTACAACAAAAAAAACTCCTGCACATCAACAACTGTCACAACAATGTGTTTCATCAAAAAATAAAAAGAAGTTTAGTAACTTGTGAAAACAGATTATTTTAGGAGAATAAATATCACAAAAATAAAGTTGCAGTTTCACAAAAAAATAAATATTTTCAAATATTTGTAGCACAGTTGGAGTTTGTTCCTGCTGACGATGAACTCCTCAAAAATATAAAGTTTCACTTTTGAACAACATCAGGTATCACAGGTGTCTAAAGTAGTTTTGTCCCGATCCAAATAAGATTATATATAAAATTATTTTGTTTAAGGGAAATTAAAATGTTGTTGGTATCACTACAGTGGATGTGACATTTGAATAATGTTATTTTGATATTCCAGTCTCTGGGTTTCCACCTGTTGGAGCAAAAACAAGTATCAGCAGCTTTTTCAAAGCGTAAAATTGAAAAATCAGAGAAATTTTGACACCATTTTGTCTATAAACTTCAGAAATGTGTGTTCGACACGGAGGAAGACGTTACATCAGACTCAGGTCACAGACATTGTTTAGATCTGATCATTTAATTTGTTGACAATAAGAAAAATCTAAAATCTCATCAGACTTTACGTTTTATTTTTTCTTGGTGCAGCAAGTTGAAAAGATTTTCTCAAATCAGGTTTTTGATGCGTCTCCTTCTGGTTTAGTTGATATCAGGGACGTTTATCACGATTTGTTCTTTATTTCTTCACTAATTTAAATTTTCTTTTAAAAATGACTCGTACTCAATTTATTAGAAATGTTTGAAAGTTGTCGACCAGCAACAGGCTGCAAAACAGAGCCAATTAAACATTTATTTTCACTCAGTTTTTCCAACGTTTAAATGTCACTTCACTTTCAAATATTAAACATTGAAACATTTCAAACACCAAATCGTCTCCTCTCCCGTAAAGAACGAGCACTCTGATGACGCTGGAATTGTTTTTTAAAACACGGCTCACACTTAAGACCCGAGTCAGACCTGAAGTCACTCGACTCCAAACATGAGTTGAGTCTTGTCGTTCAGCAGACTAAAATATTTGACCTTCATGTGGTGTATGGAAGACCTGTTTGTGCCAATGTGATGAAAAAGAAAAAAAGATCCTGTCACTGAGAAACTTTGACAAAATGACTTGACTTCCTAAAGTAATGAATTAATATCTAAAGATAATGAAATAATATTTCAAAATGATAAACTGTTTCAAAATTACGTAATATCTCAAAATAATGAGAAACTTCCTCAAAATAAGTTTTTTCCAAATAAGAGTTTCTGAAAAAAAGAAACTTTCAAAAAAAAAAAAAAAAATGACGTTCGTATCTCAAAGTTTATTAGTTTGAGTTACTGAGTTACTATTTTGAGAAAGTTTCTTGTAATTTCCATAAAGTTTCTTATTATAATGACCGACGGAATCTTTTCATCTTATTTTAATTTTCTTTTCTTTGAGGGGTGGAAATGGTCTTCCATAGCTTTCTGTTGATTTGGTCTGTTCACACCTTACGACCATTTTAAGTGGAATTCTGAGGCTCAGAGTCGCTCTGATTTCAGTTCTTATGTTCTGAAGTGCTTTAAAAACCGCACTCTTACGGAGTAGTAACGTCTGTTTGTTTATTCAGAATAAATCTGACCAATCACAGCGGGCGGTTCACTGAGTCAGTGACTTGATCCCACCTGATTCAAATGGTCACTGTCGGCTGTTAAAGGGAAATACTGCTGTTTTCTTTTTGTTTATTCTCATCATCTCTCAGCCATTGAATCGAAAAGCATTTTTGAGTAAACTTTAGTTTGTTTTTGAAGGTCGAGACGTGTCCTGTAACGTAGAGACGGTAAAACTGTAAACTGCGTTGTGCCTTCTGGATCTCACTGTTGCCAACAAGACGATCTCTTCATGAGGCCAGTTTATTGTTTATGTGAATATTGTGACTTAAAAACTTCAGTGGAAAGTTTTAATGTTACGTGGTGGTAAACTGCAGGAAACTACTGTAAGTCGGAAAAAAGGCGGGAAAAAGTCAGTTATCACGTTGACGTCATTATAATTATCATCTGTCCATATAGGCCTACTGCAGCTGAACTGTATCAGAGATGATTCACAGTTATGTCTAAAAAAAAAATAAATAAATAAATAAAATTTTAAATAAAGAGTACATTTTTTTTCCAGGGTTTTCTGCTTGTAAACAAAAGAACAAAAATCATCCACAGTCTCATTTTAAAAGCTGAATATTGATACAAAATCTGAGATTATTTTGGGGGTTATTACAGTAATTATTAATTAATTAATTATTAATTTTGGTGCTGAAAATCATTCTGACCAACTTTCAGCAGTTTTTAATGCAGGAAGTTTTATTTTGGAAGGTAAATGTTTTGATGGCCCTTCCTGTAACAGGAAGCCCTCCGGTGACGAGACGATCAAGCTTAATTCTTGTAAAATTACATCTTTTTGTTCTTTAAAATTACAAATCGTCTCTCGTAATATCAAACTGTCACATTACAAATTTATGTTTTAGAAAAGTTGCACATTATTCTTATCTCTCAAAAAATGATGTCGGTATTCAGTGATGACTTTTTCGTAAGACTTTTATCTCATAGATTACGATGTACTCGGATTTTTCACAAAATTGTCACCTTTTTATTCTTTGTTCTTGAATTGCTGATGTTTGACTTATTTCTCAAAAATTAAACTCAGAACAACTCACAAAATACTTAAAAATAATCCCTGAAATCACAGGTATTTTTTTCTCACTGCTCTTTGAGCTCCATGTCACATGTGATGAAGTGTCGTATAAAGTTTAAGCACAAATTACCAAATTTTTCCTGAAGTATTTTCACCTTCTGACAGAATCTTTTGTTTTTTTCTTCTTATAAAATTCTACTTATTTTTACATTTCAACTTTTTTTTTCTCAGAACAATTTAATTTGATCTGTTTCATTTTACAGTTGCCATTTTATACTTGTAAAAGAACCGCAAGTTTTTTTTCCTTTTTTTAATGTCAAAGTGACAAAATATCACAAAAACCTCACATTTAACATATCACAACTTAATTCCTAAAATATTTCAACACTTTTCTTGTACTGTTAACGCTATTTTCAATATTACATATTATTGTAACGCAACGGTCTTAAAATTATGACTTAGGTCTCAACATTCTAATTCTTTTTATTTTTGTCGAAATTATAACCTTATACTCAAACACTCAACGTCAGATCTCTCAGCTCTGATTCTGCGTCATGACATCACAACCAGCGTTCTCCTTTGGGGTCGACGCCATGTGACAAAGTATCTTAAAAACTAACACATTTTCCAATATTTCCTGTGAAATTATCAAATTTGTCTTGAAAAAAATGTGAAATAATTCAACTTTTTTCTCAAAATTTTACTCAATATTTTTCCTGTAAAAATTAGAAAAATAAATTCTGACTTTTTCTTGTACAATTACAACTTTTTTCCTAAACATTACGACTAATGCCTTGAGAGTCATAATACCGTGTGAGAAAACCGCCTGCCTTCTCCTTTAAGGTTGATGCCATATGACGAAGTATCGCGTGAACGTTAAGAACAATTGGCCAAATCGTAAAAGTGCCATGAAAACAGAGAAGGAGAGATGTGATTAAAACAAATGACACCAGTGTTTCCCTTCAGATCCTCCTCATGAACTTCCTCCTCCTCTTTTCCTTTCCATCATCCATGTTTTCATTTTTATTTTCATTGTTCAAACTCAGACATGATGTGAAGGACTTCTGCAGCTCTACCAGATCTTTTCTCTGTGTTTCCTCTTAAAAACAGATGAAAGCAGTTCAGAGGTCAAATCTTAACGAGTAATTTCCCCCAAAAAACTGCACAGATCAACATTTCAGACGACACAAGAGCACTGCACTTTTATTGGATGAAATCAACCCACAGAACTGCAGACATTATATTTTTGCGAATTTCAGGAGGAAAGAAGAAGAATGTTGAATCTTGTTGACGCTTGGCCCTTTTTTTTTTTTTTTTTTTTTTTTTTTTTGAAATTGTTCGATGTGTCTTTTCCAGGCTTCACACAAACCAACAAACTTTTTTGTTGTTTTTTCGTTTAAAAGCTGCCAAAAAAATTCCCTCCGTTCCTCCTTTTCTCAGTCAGTCATTGAAGCTGCGACCCAGAAGGGAAGAAGAAGAAGAAGAAAACAGACACGGAGCATGTTTTTAATTTTTTTTATTTATTTTGTTTTTTTTCCAAGCAGTGCTGTGAATCGTACGAGCTGTGATTCTGTCCTTATTTTGTCGTGCATATGTGGGGTAACTTTGCTAAGTGTGAAAATATTTTGACAAGTGCCACGCCCCGGCCTGTGCGATGCTTAACCATAATGTCTATAAAACAGGAAGTGATTTCTGCTGGTGAGACGAACACCAGAAAAGATAGAATTATGATTATTATGCTTCTGATTATTATTACTATTATTATTATTATTATTATTATTATTATGGTGACTATTATTACTTCAACTGTGTCATCATTGCGACCATGATTATTCTCATAATCATTTAAGAGTCTGTTTGTTTTGCCATGTATTTTTTATTTTGAGATTTTTATTTTAGTTTTCTTTTTATTATTAAAGGTAAAATGAACTAACAGATCCTGCTGTGGTGTCGTGCTTGTGCAACAAAGTGCTGAATGTTTAAGTTTATCTTAAATGTTAATTAAACTTGGCACCAGTTTGTGATTTGAAGGTGAATATTATGGAATTTTTATTAAAAAAAAATGTCATGACATACTATAATAATAATAAATTTTATTAGTATTATTAGTTAGTATTATATAGTTTTATTAGCCTTTCTGAGCACCCAAGGACACCTTACAATAAAAACATACAAAAATACCAATAATACAACATTAAAAATAGATAAAATACATGACAGAAAATTAAACCGGATAGGCAAGTATGAACAGATGGGTTTTAAGCTGTGGTTTAAATTGTCCAATGGAGTCAATCTGACGGATATGGGGGGGCAGAGAGTTCCAGAGTCTGGGTGCAGAGCAGCTGAAGGCTCTGCCACCCATAGTGGTCAGTTTGAAATTAGGGACAGACAGAAGAGCAGCTGAGGAGGAGCATAGAGCACGGGTGGGGGTGTAAGGGTGGAGAAGGTCTGACAGTTATTGGGTGGGCAGGTTATGGAGAGCTTTGAATGTGAGGAGAAGGACTTTATATTGGATTCGCTGATGGACAGGTAGCCAGTGGAGCTGAATGAGGATGGGGGTGATGTGGTCGGTGGATTTGGTACGGGTGATGATTCTAGCAGCAGAGTTCTGGATGATTTGGAGACGATGGAAAAGTTTGTTGGGGAGACCAGTGAGGATTGAGTTGCAGTAATCGATACATAAAGTGACAAGGGCATGGACCAGGACCTGGGTGTTGTGTTGGGTGAGAGATGGACGGAGTCTGGAGATGTTACGTAAGTGCATGAAGGCAGCACGGGTAATGTTACTGATGTGGGGGGAAAAAGAAAGAACACTGTCCAATATGACACCGAGGCTTTTGACTTGGGAGGAGATGTGGACCGGGTGACCATCAATGGAAATATTGAAGGGATGAGTGTTGAAGAGTGTGGACCTTGTGCCGACGAGAAGGACTTCGCTTTTATTTCCATTTAGCTTGAGAAAGTTGTTTGTCATCCAGATGTTGATGGCCTGGAGACAGTCAGTGAGGGGGGGGGGGCTTGGTTTAGTGGAGATGTAAAGTTGTGTGTCATCGGCATAACTGAAAATGAATTCCAAAGTGACGGAGGATGTCACCAAGGGGGAGGATGTATATGATGATGCTGTGGTGTTGTATGAGGACGTCTGGGGTGGCAGAGAAGTATGTTAGAGTGGTGCAGGACATGTATGAGAGCTGTAGGACAGTGGTGAGGTGTGCATCAAGGATCAGCTCTGAGCCCCTTCTTGTTTGCTATGGTGATGGATGGATGGTTGACAGATGAGGTCAGACAGGAACCTCCATGGACTATGATGTTTGCAGATGACACTGTGACCTGTAGTGAGAGCAGGGAGCAGGTGGAGGAAAATCTAGAGAGGTGGAGGTGTGTCCTGGAAAGGAGAGGAGTGATGGTTAGTCGTAGCAAGACAGAATACATGTGTGTGAATGAGAAGGACCAAAGCGGAACGGTGAGGTTACAGGAAGCAGAAATAAAGAAGGTGGAGGATGTTAAGTACTGAGGGTCAACCGTCCAGAGGAACAGAGAGTGTGGAGAAGAGGTGAAGAAACGTGTGCAAGCAGGTTGGAACGGGTGGAGAGAAGTGTCAGGTGTGACGTGTGATAGACGAGTAGCAGCAAGATTAAAAGAAGAGGTGAACAAGACGGTGGTGAGAGCAGCCATGTTGTTTGGTTTAGAGACAGTGGCACTGAGGAGAAGACAGGAGGCAGAGATGAAGATGTTGAGGTTCTCTTTTGGAGTGACAAGGATGGAGAGGATCAGGAATGAGGACATCAGAGGGACAGCTCATGTTAGATGGTTTGGACATGTTCAGAGGAGGGACAATGAATATATCGGCAGAAGGATGCTGAGGTTGGAACTGCCAGGCGAGAGGCCGAGAGGAAGACCAGAGAGGGGGTTTATAGATGTAGTGAGAGAGGACATGAAGTCAGCTGGTGTGAGAGAAGAGGATGCAGAGGATAGGGTTAGATGGAGGCAGATGATTGGCTGTGGCCACCCCTGAAGGGAACAGCCCAAAGAAGAAGAGGAAGATGAAGACCATACGACATTTTCGCTGATTTTTGAGCAACATACTACACTTTGAGATTTTCGATGATTGTTCAACGACATAACGAAATAATAAATTGTGACATTTTTGATGTTTTGACAACATGACTTTTTGCATGATTTCACAACCGCATACTATGTTATGATATGAACGACTGATTGTACTATGACATTTTTTGATGATTATTTAACAACATACATTTTAAATGTTTTTGTAATGATATATGACAGTGTCACATTCTTGAGGTTTTTTTGAATGGCATGACTATTATACTATTACTACTATTTTTTTCACGATTTCACAGTCACATAATATATTATGACGTTTCATGATTTTCTAACAAAAACTTTTCTTTGACATCATTAATGATTTTTGAACGTCAGAGTCTAGTATGTCAAAAACCACGTA